CACAGAGGAGCACAGATGGGAGAGATCACCTAAAGATACAAGCTAGAAGTCAGCCTTGGAGCAGGGAAGGCAGGCAGCTGCAGGGCACAAGGTGGATGGACTAGGCTTGCTATTCCTTTCAGTAAAGATAAGGAAGAAGGTGATGAAGGTGAGCTTATGTGCTTGAAGTCCCTGACCAATGACCATTCTCCTGCAAGGTGGAGGCAGTATTAAAGGGCTGCTGTGGAGGAGGAAGGAGACTATAACTATTAGGCAGGTTAGCTCTAAGAGGGACTGACCATTGGTCCAAAATAGGACATAAAGAACAATAGGCCCTCCAGCTGGGCCAGCTCAGAGACCCTAAAGCAGAATGTAAAGACTACATGGTATTGGTCTCTCCAGCCTCAGGGACTTCCTTGCCAATGGAGCATGCCCAGAATGCTATTACCTTTCCACAAAATAAACTTTTCCACTTTTGGGGCCACTTAAATCCCTACACTTATTCTTACACCTTTCACATTCTTTTAGAATAGACTGAATTTTTGGTAAAATGAACTTCTGGGGGAAAATACATCCATTCCCTACAACTTTGAGGCCTGGAGAGGACATGAGGGAGGAAACAACAGGAAGTAGAGAAATGTGAGCCCCATTGCTTGCTGGGTTCTGGGATGTGGCCGCTCGTCTCTGGGCCCTTTCTGAAGACTGTGTTCCTGTTTCCTTGCTTGCTAGGAGTAAACTATTCATGGCTCCCTTTAGTGACTGCTTCTGTTGGAATTCTCTTTCTGGAGTACAAGAATAGAGATTGCTCCTAGGGTTGAAACCAGCAGAAACTGGAGGCCTCCCTGGAACATGACCAAGAAAATGCCAAGATTCCCAGAAGCTTTGAAAGCCCATGTGAGGCATTATCAGAGGCCAGGCTGCAGGCATGGGGAGGGGTTGCCTATGGGCTGGAGTTTCACTGGGACATTCGATGGTGAGATGAAGGGACAGGAAAACTGAAGTACTGGGGAAAGGTTGATATGATGGACCTCAAAGTCAAAACTTGGGGACAAAGAGGACCACTGGGAATTGGGGTGGGGAGCAGAGGCAGGCAGAGCTCTGTAAGTTCAAGGCCCACTTGATCTACATAGCAAGTTCCAGGCAAGTCAAGGCTACACAGTAAGACCCTATCTCTAAATACATAAGTGAATATCCAAACTGGCATTGAGCAAAACACCAGTGGCAGGTGAGGTAGAGAGAGAAACGTGACACTCCCCTTCAGAGACAATAGTCAAGCTCTACATATTCAGGTGTGCTTCCTAGACATCTGAACACTTCAAAAATATTCTCTCAAAACTGTCCCTGATCTAGTCACACACACCCCAGACTGCCTGGTCTTCTTGAGGAGCTTCCTTCAGGCACCAGGCAGCCTGCATACACACCCTGACTGTAATTCTAGAAGTCACCCCCATCAGGCTTGCCCATTCTCCCATGCCAGCCTATTCTCCTGACCTGGAGCTTACATCCCCATGTGCTGCCCCAGTGCAGAAGGCAGTCAGCCCAGGCCAGGTAGAAATGGAACCCACGCCCAGGAGTATTTTTATCTGAATCTGCATTACTCCTACTTCCAGGTGAGACTGTGGATTATGGAATTGGTTGATGAATGCAGCCAGCATGTAGCAGCTGGGATGTGAGCCTCAGTCTGCCAGTCTGTACAGTAGGGTTGTCTGCCCAGCAGAGCTGTCAGAAGTACAGTGCCGATGCTGTTCTTGCTGTCCATTTTACTGTTTTTACAGCCTCCAAGGTTGCCATTCAAATCCTTTGCTGTCCTTACAGATCTCCTGAGTCCTGGGAAGCCACCTTTCAAATCTCTAGCAAGTAAATGACAAAGGAGGAGACCTAGCAAGCTCCTCCCCAAGAATGAAGGCTGGCTGCCTATTGTAGGGAACTGTTGTGCTGCCAATCATTAGGGATCTAGTTAGCACTTACTCTCTAAGTGTTGAATTCAGTCTTATCAACAACGGAATGAAGTGCATAGCATTACAATATCCATTGTACTGAGAAATTGGAACAGAGAGGTTCAATAGTTTGTCCAAGGTCACACAACATGCCAGTGTGGGATTTGAATTAACCTTTGCTCTCAGATTACTGCTAAGACGCTGTTAAGAGGTATGTGTGTGTGTGTGTGGGGGGGGGGTTCTCCTCCAAAAATCAGGTCTGAATCGGAGACTCTGGGGCATAGCAAGTGTGACCACTGATGAGGAGTGGGCAGCCGCAAGTGAGGGGCAGGACCTGAAGCCAGAAGAGGCCAGGTGAGACACAGACGGTTCGGTGAATGGCATTATTCTCCTCCTCCATGCTTCAGCACCTTTGTCCCTCGAAGCCTACGACCCAGGTCAAGTTCCCTCCCTGTGCCTGAAACTAAGCAAATGGAACACAGGAACAGGTTGCCCCAAAGAATCAAATGAGGCCTAGGACAGGGTCCAAGCCAAGGCTCTGTGACTTCAGGGTTTTGCTCAGCCAGGCCTGGCATCCAACAGCAGGTTCTGAGAGGAAGCCAGGCTTGTGAAACTCAAGAGCTGCAGGCAGGAAAAACAACTAATTTTGAATCAGGCGCTTCCTGACTCCTGGGTCCATAGAGATTCCAACCCATGTCCTGAAGCACAGGTAAAGATGTGGGCAGCTGAGCCACTCAGGTCCAGAACTACCCCCAGGGAGGTCCCTCCTCAGCAGAGGCCAGGGGCAGTAAGGAGGCCAGACCCTGTTTGCAGCAGCTCTTCCTTAAAAGGCCAGGATGTGTTGGTAGCCCCCTTAGGCCCATTCTTCAGGAACCCTCCTTCAGGGTCTCAGGCTGTGGACACCTTTGTTCTTCCCAGGTTTTTAACTATCTCTGAACTCAGGGACAGCTGGTAACTCAGACCCTTGAGCCAGACTTCCTTCTCCCATCTATCTCCAGGCCAGGCTCTTCTTTTCAGGCAGCCCCTGCAATGTGCACCCCAGGCACTCCCCCCTCAGCGCCTCCTCTCAGGTGCCTTCTCTGCAGTCTCACAGATTGCTATTTCATACATACAATGTGGTCTCTAGGACCACATTGCCGACACCTCCAAACCCAAGTCCCCACACCGGACAGCGTTCAGATGTGCTGCCCTCTGTGACAATCCTTCCTCTGACTTGGAATGGCCACCCCCCAACCTGCTTTCCTGTTACTGTACCCAGACACCAAGCCAGAAACCAGGGCAGCTCCCCAGGTTCAGAGTCAGCACCTTCCATCAGCTCTGTCCCTTCCTGTTTCTGGAGCCTGTGCCATGCCTTTGGTCTTACCACCCATCTGTCTTTCACTCCCTCTCTGCTCTGCAACCACAATAGCTTAAATTATTATTTACTTATTATTACTTTGTCCATGCATGTGCATGTACACAGCACTCATGTGGAGGTCAGAGGACAATTTTGTGGAGTTGATTCTCTCCTTCCAGCTTTATGTGGGCTCCGGGGTTTGAACTCACATCATACTGGGCTTGCATCCTGCTTGCATGAGTCGAGTGCCTTTACCAGCTATACCATCTAACAAGGCTCACAAGGGCTTTTCTATCATCTATCAGTTTGAAGAAGGGGGTAAAAGACACAGATGAGCCTCAGCTGTTCTCAACTGGAATGTGAGCGCTCTCTCTCTCTCTCTCTCTCTCTCTCTCTCTCTCTCTCTCTCTCTCTCTCTCTCTCTCTCTCTGGGCTTCTGAGGCCCTAACCAGTATTGTCCACTCCAGCTTCACAGCTGATCAGGGACTCTCAGATGCCTCTGTGGCTCACCTGAAATCCTTGCCTCTCTCAAGCCCCTCCCTGCATCATCCACCCCCCCATCCCCATTTCCTTCTCTGTGGACTTTTCCTTCAAGGGCTGACACCAGGTGGACACAAGTATGGTGACTGCCTGGCTTGTGAGGATGACTCCTTGTCTGGAAATGATCTGGAACAACAATCAACACCTCCTCATCCCCAATCTCATGTGCTACAGGACCCTGGCTCTTGCATCCCCCACGTCCTGGCTGATTGGATCAGCGGTGAATTCATGAACCCAGCTGGCCAGTGTCTTGCCAGATTGCTTGGAACTTTGACTCAAGGTTTTAGAAGTTCTAGGAGTCAAGAGTCACATCACTGTCCCTCTAAATGACAGACATTATAGGTACAGTGCCAGCCACCAGTCACAAGGCTAGCACAAACTGCTTCCTGCCTCCTAAATCAGCAATTGCTTTGCAAAGCCAGGATTCTTCCCCAAACTCCTTTCTACTGTTTATAAAGAAAGAAGCTTAATTCAAGCTCCTCCCATCTCAAGCTCTGCCCATCATCTCAAGGTGATCTGTATGAACCATCCTTCCTTCCCACTTTTGTTCATTTGTTACAGACGTGCCATTGCATGTGTACACAGATCAAAGGGCAGCTCTTTAGAGTCAGTTTTCTCCCCTAGACCAGTTATTCTCAACCTGTGGGTCATTACTCTTTGGGGTCACATATCAGGTATTTACATTACAATTCATAGCAGTAACAAAATCACAGTTATAAGGTAGCAATGAAATAATTTTATGGTTGGGGTCAGCACAGCATGAGGAACTAACTGTATTAAAGGGTTGCAGCAATAAGAAAGTTAAGAAGCACTGCATTAGACCGTCACAGGTATCAAATTCAGGTTGTCAGCTTTGGCAGTAAACCCTTTCATCTTCTGAGTCATTTCACCGGCCCAGTAAAAAAAAAAAAAAAATATTTTAAGCTGGGTGGTGGTGGTGCATGCCTTTAATCCCCAGCACTAGGGAGGCAGAGGCAGATGGATCTCTATGAGTTTGAGGCCAGCTTGATCTACAGAATGACCAGGACAGCTAGGGCTACAAAGAGAAACCCTGGGGGTGGGGGGCTTATTTTAATGAAATCAACTGTGACCGGAGAGATATTCATGGGAGGTACCCTGGAGGAGAGATCTGGGCAGCATATTCCAGTTATGAGCAATGCATTTAGGATGAGAGAAAATGTAAAAGGAAGGACTTCTTCTCTTAATCCAAAATGAAAATAGATTTATTAATTCCTGTGAAAAACATGATATATTATAACCAAGTCACATACTTTATTTTGATAAGAAAAAAAATTTTCAGTAAAGAAATTTGGCACGGTCTTCTGCCGGGACATGTGTGAAATCCTGGGACTTGTGTGTCAGGGAACATCATGAGGGGGGCAAAGCAGCCCGGGCAGGGGGGACTGGTAAAAGCTTGGTGAAGTAGGGAGGATGGAGGCAAGGAAAGGAAGTCAAGAGGCCTGCCCTCAGGGGCCTCTCCCCACATTCATGCACTGTCAGGGTTTATCCTGGAATAGTGGGGAGTCATGGAGAGTAACTGAGAAACAGAATTGCCCCTTTGGCGACCAGTGTCAGAAAACAGACCTCTGGTCAAGCCACTTCTGACCCACTTCTGACCCTGAGACTTGAGGCATCGCTGTCTTTAAAGTGCCAGACATGGAGGGAAGTGGAGAGTGTCCAAAGACGGGGCTCATAGAGAGAAGTGGTCCCGGCTGCCTGCTGTCTCCATCTCACCAGCCCCGGGCTGAATGTAATTGTCTTCGATGAAGCCATCATCATCTTCATCTTCACCCACCTGTGGGCGGTTCCCACTCCCTGTTCTGGACAGTGGGTGATGCCGATAGCTGGCACGGTACCGGTGGCAGAGGTGGCACTTGGCAGCAAGGGCAATGAGTATGGAGAGGGCCACCGCTCCCAGCACGACCCCCACCAGCACAGGCCATGCCTGGCCCCCAGTGCCCAGCCTAGGGGTCATTGTTGGTGTGGTGGTGTACGCTGAGAACACAGCTGCATGGAAAGAGACCGAGTTACTGGAGATCCCCAGAAAGGTCCCAGGGGAAACTGAGAGGACCCAATCCATCCTCAACCATCATACCTGTCTACCACTCACTTTGGTTTCCTTCAGTCATGGAGAGGCCTGATGACATTGGTGAGCCTTGGCCTCTGTCAGAGAAAAAAACCCTGGCTCCAGGGACACCCCAGGGTCCAGGCAGCCCTGGGATACAAGTCCTGAAAAATACAGAGGTGTAGGGGCCAGGATTAGATAGAGGGTAGACCATAGCCCACATCATTGGTCCATGGAAGAGAACAGAAGGTGCCAGGAATGAGGCTCACACAGGAAGTGCTAACGTCCTTAGTAAGCACACCTTAGGATTTAGGCACTAGCCCTATGCTCACAAAAATCCCATGACATAAGAATAAACACTACCCCTGCCTTATTGATGAGAGGAAAAAAAAGCTCCCAAATGGAAATGATTCAACTGAGGCCCCGGAATGTGAACTCAGGTCTCTGACACCAGAGCATGGTCTGGAATGCTCCTTGGCGAGTTGATGGGAGACGGGACAGAAGCAGTTCAATAGCAGTTGTGTAGCCCTGTCTAGCTCTAGAGCAGGCCCCGGGAACAGATGGTTATTCTCAGACAGCCAAGGCACCCTGCCTCTCCTTGTCCAGAGCCTCCTCTACCATACACCTCAGTCCTTCCAGGGGCCTCCATCCACTCACCTCTACCCACAAGGGCCCACAGTCTGCCCCCACGGTGAGACATACGCTAGGGGACTATTGCAGATGACCACCTGAGTAGGAATGGGTCACAATGAAGGCCGTGGCATTCAGGCTGGAAACTCTGAGGGAGGAGCATCTGAGCAAAGGGAGTAGCTGGAGATCACGTGTATGGGATTAGGCTTGGACACTCTGAAGGAGGTCAACAGTGTGTGGGGAGACACGTGACCTGGAGGCATGGCCAGGAAAGGAAGAGCTAGAGGGCTGAGGTCTGCAGGAAGGGGCGAGTCAGCGGTGTCCCTGGGCAGAGTGGTCAGACAAGGGACTGAAACACCAGTTTAGGGGTGTGTTCAGTCACCCTCCTCAATGTGGTACCCAAAGGGTGGCCTCACTCATGGTGTGCCACCTCCCCCTCCAGTAACTCAGCCTTCCTTCGTACCCTCTGCCACAGCCGTGTTCAAGCTACCTACACTTTGTCCTTACAGCCACAATCTCCAGCCAAGATCTCCTAACAGGTGTCTGTCTAACTGCCTCCAATCCACTTCCCAGAGCAAACTCTGAGCCCATCACCTGAGGAAACTCCTTCCACAGCATCCCAAATGCCAAATATGTCCTGTTCTTGATTGGAGGACTCAAAATTCAGCACAGAGCCCCACTACACACACACACACACACACACACACACACACACACACACACACACACACACACACACACCGCTCTCTGAGTTTTCAGCCTTCCCTGCTGGTGAGGTTACTCCAGGGCCCACAGGTGACCTCTGCCTCATCAGCATCCAGTCAGAACTGGCCACCACCAGCCACACACTTCCCTGAGGCAGAGGAGTGAGTAGGCTAGTGCATGCCTGATTGGGGGCAGGGAGGAAGGAGGGGGGCTTCAGCGAAGGCAAACTTCAGAAAAGAGACATATCTAGTCCATTCATTCATTCGCAAGCAATCTTTGGTTGCTTTCTGTGGACTTCTCCTTAGGCACTCAGTATTCAAGAAACAAGAGATTGTTGCAACTTGCAGTGAGTTCAGTTAGACTTTTTAAAGATTTTACATGTATCACCTTCCTCTCCTGCTCTGCTCTGCAAATTCTTTCCAAAGATATACACAGTCACCTTCTAAATGCCTCTTAACTCACAGCCCGTACTTGCCTGCCCATCCCCCTTCAACTGTCACTTCTCAACCCACAACACCATAATACACACCCCTCCTGATCTGCAACAAACAAACCCCCAACTGGATCTAGTTTCTCTGCTGCATCCAGGAGCCCTTGTGGATCAGAAGAGACCACAGTACCCGCTCCCACACCCCCAGTGTCTTCCCCTTCTCCGCTCCCACCTTCAGACACTGTGCACAGTCCGTGGAGGTGGCTTCCGGCTGGGACTGTTGAACCTGGACAGGTGGGCGGACCAGAGCAGAAGCTTGATTCACCTGGAACTGTAGCGGGGTGGGCGGGGCGGAAGTGCAGGTGAAGAGAAGGCGGGGTAGCAACCAGGATTTGCAGCGCCCTCAGCAGGAAGGACTCATCTTACATCTCACCAAGTATTGAGGGAGAGCAGGCTTGCTCCCTCCCCAGTATTGTGGATTAGTGCAATTGGAATGCAGAAAGGGTCCAGCCTGTCCCTGAAGGGCCAGACCTCAGCAGGCACAGCTGCCAGCACGATAAACAAATGGATTTCTAGTGCCGGTACAAAGTCCAAAGTTGAAGCAATAAACCAGATGGGACCATCAGGGGAGGAGGCAATGAGCAGTCTTCCCAGGCAGAGCCTGAGAGAACAAGAATGGTACAAACTTCCCTGCAAAGTGCTAGTACATGGTGTGTGTGTGTGTGTGTGTGTGTGTGTGTGTGTGTGTGTGTGTCTGTGTGTCTGTGTGTGTGTGTGTCTGTGTCTGTATGTGTGTGTCTGTGTCTGTGTCTTTGTGTCTACACTTAACTATCTGCACAGGGGGTTCAAACCTTCATCTGGGCCTCATGGTTCTCTTGACCCCACCTGCCAGGGCCTTAGCTCTCCTCTTTGCTTTCCTTTGCCTTGATCTTTAGGACTGGCATTGTCCCATTGTCCTTCAAGATACAGCTCCGGGTTGAACCCTAAGCTGGCCAGCATAGCCTACTACACCCTTGGTATCCATGTTTCTCAGGGTCTTAGACTTATTCCTGCCTGGGCTGCCTCCTCTATCTACCAGGGTGGAAGACAGCCTCTCGGGTTCTCTGGGCTTTCTGTACCCAGCATAACGCCCGAGGCTGGATAGGATCAACAGATAACAAAGCAGGGAGAAAGCATTGTCCTTGCTACTGATGCTCAGGAATGGATGTGCCAGGATCCAGGACCAACAGGGCACGACTAGAGAGAAGGCTGCCCAGAGGAGCAGCAAAATGGATGGTAAAGAAAAAGCTGTGACATGTCCTCAGTTCACTGACAAAGGGCTGAAGCTGGAAGGAAGGAGGGCAAGAGTGGGGAGGGTTAATAAGTTACAGGCTACAGGCCTACAAGAGCAACCGTCTGTTTTACCTTCTTGAAGGTGTGTTAAGACACTGAGCGGCAGGTATCCTGCTTGCAGCTGTGGCTTACCCCCATGTGATGGTTACTGCAGACAACCTGCCTGCCCCAAAGCCTTTCCCAGTTGGGAGTAACACCCCTCCCCTCTCAGCTTCAGCCTCTGTGGGTTCAATGCCTAAAATTAAGTGCCCATCTTAATCTTCATTATAAAGTACTGTGGCTTTTTATCTCCCTCCCCATTCCACCCCCAACTGCTACCTAGTGTGGCTGGGACCAAAGGTAGGGGGTGTGACAACTTGTCCTAAGCCCTTTGTGGCTTAGCATCTGAAATGGCTTACTCAGCTGTTTCCTTTCCAAGATTCCTTGATCTCATAAAGTTTTTGTTGTTGTTTTGTTTGGGGGCATATGTGTTTGTTTAATCTTATTTTGAGGCAGGCTCTCTCTGTGACCCAAGCTGCCCTAGAACTTATTATGAGTGGAGGCTGGCCTCGAACTCACAGAGATCCACCTGTTTCTGCTTCTTAAGTGTTGGGGTTAAAGGCACCCCACTCAGCCTGTCTAGAGAGCTTTTGTTTTGCTTTGCCTTGTTCTAGCAGGGCCATGGGTAGAAGCCTATATGCAGGCCCTGGAGTGTCTTGGATTGGAGTCCCAGGAACAGCCCTTTGCAATGTTACTCATCCCAACATGACCTTGCCCCTCCTACTCTACACTGTGCTCCAGCTGTGCTCCTCTCCTTCATCCCACACCCTGCAGTGATCCCTCTGCCCTAGGTCTGCACACTGTGGTCCCAGCTTCCCAGTCGGCACTTTCAACTCCTGCCCCTGTATCTATCTCCAGCTTTTCCCCAGAAAATCACCCCACCTAGGGTAATTTTAGGGTCCCAGCTTGGAAGTTCTTTGGACCAAACTCCCCTGCCACTCCCTAATCTGGGTGATGCACCCTCTATTGCCTTGGCCCTTTGCTCTCACAGCCCATGCTGAGGTTTTCTTTTGGGACACTTCAGCGAGCTGTGAGCTGTGATATGAGAACTTACTATCTTGTTATCATCTTATTATATCTTGCTATTATATCCCCAATATCTATAATAATAACAATGAATATTTCTGAAACCAATTAATGAGTTGGGGACCTGGCAGGTGAGGAGCCCAGGAGGAATGATTCATGAGGTGGAAGATGGGTGTGGGATTGAGGTGCAGGTTGAGGAAAAGCCGGAATCCCATGAAGAGAAGACAATATAGAAAGCCTGAGAGGAAGGATGGAGGAGAAGAGAATGATTGTTATCACAGGTGGGACAATGAGGCACCAGGAAAAGTGGGTTTTATTTTATTTTTGAAAAATGTACCTGATACCTAATCAACACCGACCATGTTCCAGGCACTGCGTTTGTTGTTTGTTTTTAAATGGAGGTATTTCTGTAGCACAATCAATTCTTAGAACTTAAAACTCATCCGGTCAGCCATTTTCAAGCATTTTCAAGCATGGCCTTCTGTAGCATTTGGGATCATAGTGCTGCAGCTCTTACTGTCATCATAGTGCTTTTCTCAGACCGAAGGACATCCTTTACCCAGTAAGCAGCCACTCTTCTGTCCCCTGTCTCAGGTTCCCGTAGGCCCTGATCGTTTAGTCTCTATGGGTTTGTCTTTTCTGGATATTTTGTATAGATGCAATAATACCTGTGCCACATACATTTATTTATTTTATTTAGACAGGGTTTCACTACGTAGCCCCAGCTGACCTAGAACTCACTATGTAGACCAGCCTGGCCTCGAACTCACAGAGATCCACCTGCCTCTGCTTTTGTTGGGGTTAAAAGTGCATGCCACCACCACACCTAGCTCTGTGCCAACTTTTGAAAGGAGTAAGTAGTTTCTCATAACCATCCTATGAGGTAGATGTTAATCATCCCCTTGCCAAATGAAGAAAATGAGACTCTGAGAGAAGAACTGGCATGAGGTCCTGGCAAAGGAAATAAACAAATGGTCCACATTTATTGAATGCACACCACAGAGGCACAGCCACCCAATTAGCAAACAACACACAGCAATCCTTCTGGCACTTCGGCCAGGAAGGTGCAATATGACCTTCCACGGATGGCCTGGCAAGCATGTGGTAAGCTCTGTGCAAGTTGCCATCATCACATTTTCATAGCAGTGATGGACAATAGACCAGCAAAGAAATAAGATTGTTTCAGAGAATGGTGAGTTCTATGAGGAAAGCAAACCAGGGGCTGGAGAGGTGGCTCACTGGCTAGGAACACTTGTTATTCTTGCAGAGGGCTTGGGTTCAATTCCCATCATTCATGTGGTAACTCACAACCATCCAGAACTGACCTGACACCTCTTCTGACCTTCAAGGGATCAGGCATGCACCTAGTACACAGGCACACATGCAGGCAAAGCACCGTACACATACAATAAAATAAATACTTAGAAGTAAATAATAGAGCTTCATGCAACAGCTTCAAGGAAACATGGCAAGAGGCTGTGACTTCAGAAGATCAGGTGAAGAAGGGACTCGCAGTAAAGTATCAGTTACTTTACTGCTTCTATGACCAGGACACCTGACAGAAACCACTCAGAGGAGGAAGGATTTTCTTTTGGCTCACTGTTTCAGATGGTTTCAATGGATCATGATGGGGAAGGAATGCCAGTGGTTCAAGCCATGGCAGGGATGAGTGAGTGTGGTGGAGGCTGTTCATATCAAGGTGGATGAAGGAGCAGACCTTAAGGGAGGAAGTGGGCAGGAATAACACGCCCTCAAGGACCTGCCCTAGACACCTTCCTCTAGGCAAACTCCACCTCCCAAACCTTGGACAAGCTCTCTAACACCGGCAACCAAACATTCAAAACATGAGCCTATGAGAGACATTTCACATCCAAACCATAATGTTTCACCCCAGCCCCCAGAGGCTTATGGTGCAAAATCTTATGATGTAAAATGTAGTTCAACTTCAAGTGTCCGCACAATCTTAACATTTCCAACATTATTCTAAAGTCTGCCTGGGGTCTATAGAGAGACTCAAAGTAATCTCTTAGCTGTGAGTCCCTGGAAAGTAAAAGAGAAGGTTATGGATTTCCAACTTACAAGGTTACAGAGTAAACATTCCATTTCTAAAATGGAGGAATACTTGTATAAGAAGAAAAGGTAGGATCAAAGAAAGGCCAATAAAGCAAATATTAAACCCTATAGCTCCATGTCCAACATCCAGTGGCATGGTATCCTGACGTGAGCTCCATCAGACCTAGATAATACTGTCTCCCTAGTTTTTGCTGTTTATAGCACATATGGCCTCTGTCTTGGTGTGATTCCATTTGGAACGTGCAGCTGTTCTCAGCAGTCACCTACATTCCTGGCATCTCAGACATCCCAGTATCGCCACCTCACCTTGGAACTCACCCTCACAGGTCCACAGAGAGTAGGGACCCCAACTCTACCACATGTTGCCTGGTATCCCAGGTTCAGGGACCCCAACACGTTGCCTGGTGTCACAGGCTCTTCGCTGCAATCTTTAAGGATGATTACACAACGCCACAACTCAGCGCTACATGTATAATACCAAATTCTGCTGCCAGTTTGAGCAGTTGCCATGCTCCATTGGACCATGGTTGCAACAGAGTATCTGGGTGATCAAACCTGGAAAAACACTTCTTTAGATGGACCTACTATAGTAGAGCACACGGTGGCACTGTATTTTCAAAAAAAAGGTAGGGTTTTACCAGTTCCTGAAAGGTCCCCAAGGCATCTTTGTTCCTACACATTCATGCCTTCTCTGTGTGTGTGTCTCTCTATGTCTCTGTCTCACTCTCTCTTCCTCTCACTCTCTCTTTTGAGACAGGGTCTCTCTATATAACCCTGGTTGTCCTGAAACTTGCTATGTTGGACCAGGTAGTGCTCAAACTCACAAAGATCCTCTTGCCTCTGCC